GTAATACTTTTTCCTAGAAATTTTGTTGATTTTTGGTGATTTTTTGAGCAAAAATTAATAAACTAATTTTGTCCAGTGACATGCGATAAAGCGTTTTTCTTCGAAAACGAAGTGAGATACGAAAAAATACAAGAGGTAGAGAAGTTGCATTTTTAGATGCTTAATCAAACAACAAATATTCGCTAAGGTGCCCCCCGGGGCGACACTAGACCTAATAATTTTAAACTATTTAGGGCTAAGTCAGCCTCTTAATTCAACAAATTTTAATAGAATCGAGTGAATATTTTTTTGAACTTATATATGTAGATTGAAAGCTCTCCATCTTATAAAAAAAGTTTTTGCATATTGTTTAACAAGGAATCATTTCTAAGCTAATACAGTATACAATACTCAGTAAAGACCTTAAACATAATCGCATACGTCTGCTATATTAGGAAGACATCAACAACAAAGTCATTTTTTTCATCAATATCGAAAACAGAGGAATATGTATCATTACTACTTGCAGTGCTGATATTCAGGTAATTCATTGCTTTCCCTGGCATATTTAGGCGAAAGACGAGAACGGTATTGTAACCATTTGCTTGCTGCATATAAACTAATCTGAACATCACCTCTGTGACTATAGGAAGGATCAAGCTGGAGCGGATATATCAGCGTAAGCTAAAGCCGAAGTGCCGTTTTCCTAAACCAAGTCCCGTCTGGGAGTCAATTAAAAAAGATGCTTATCTAATTAAGATTGTCCCGACTGCCGTTTAATGCAAGAACAAAATAGAATGGTAATGAGGCAGTATCAGTCTACCTTAAGAAGAGAATTAATGTTTCCAGATACTCTCAGGTACCAACGTTGTTAGATCCAATTACAACAGCTTAAGCTTCAAATCAATCGGCATTGTGTTAAATCAAGTGAACGTGCATCCGTCTTCGTTGGTTGACTCGGCATATGGGGTAAATGTAGATAATTTATGAAAATACGAATTGGATACTCAGTCGGAAGTGAGAACTGACTCATGTCAAATATATCTACAATATATGGAAAAAGGATATACAGGGTGTTTTCAAAGTTGAGTCATTTACTTTAACATCTTGTAGAACTCGTCAGAAGAAGTTGGTATATCACCAAATAAGTTTGTGCAGTTGCTGTATATCGCACATTGCCATGGATGTTGTTGATTGAAAGCGATTGTTTGCTACTTGTTGTCACTTTAGTATGAATCCTTCTTTTCTCACACACATAAAAAGTTGCTGAAAATTGTTACATATCTAGTTTTAATAATTGAAAATGCTGAAGAATAAAACAGTAATTTGAAGTTGTTTACTGTATGAGTTCAAACTTGGTACAAAAGCTGCAGCGGCGGCGCGAAAAATATGTACCGCATTCGGAGATGATGCCGTTAGTGATCGAACAGCACAGAAGTGGTTCAAAATATAACAACACAATACCGGCATGTAAAAATTGATTCAACGTTGGCAAAACGTCATTGAATGTGATGGTAATTACTTCGACAATAAATAGGGTCTTATTGTTTCTCAATAAAAAAATATATTTTTTTACTAAAAACTGCACGAACTTATTTGGTCACATGATACAAAAAGTCACGTATATAAAAGTTGCATGATAAGAGGGTTAGCTTACATTATTAAAAATTATAAAAAAAATCATTATCAAGTTAAATGAACTACCGTTTTTACAAAAGCTGTTCAAAGTTGTCCCCATTTGTTCGATTAACGCAAAATATTGCTCGGCGAATCCACCACTCTTTTACAAGCTTCGAAAATAAAATCCTGGTAATCACAAATTAAATCACAAGCACACCCAAATAGCCCCACAAAAATTGCGCCTTATCCATTTAATCGGAAACTCATTAATTAGATGTTCATGAATTTCTCGTTTAAAATGTGGTGGATCCCCATCATGCAGGAACCACATATTCTGTCACACATTTAGAGGAATATCTTCTATTAATTGTGGCAGATTGGGTCAAAGAAAATATAAATAAACTTCACCAGTCAGTCGAGGTGGAAAAAAGTAGTTTCCAATAAGCATGCCACTTACCATCTCAGCCTAAATATTTGATGAAAATCTATGTTGAAAACGAGTTCTTTTTACAGCATGCGGATTTTCTACTGCCCAAGCATGAATGTGCATTCAATTTCGTGTAAATGTAGCATCGTCTATACACAAACTTAATTTCGTAAAATCTTCATTTCTGTAGAATGTTCTAAATACCACTGACAAAATGCAACTTTAATAGGATGATCTTCAGGTTGTAATGCTTGTACCCATTGATAATGATAATGAATGTCTTCCTCAGTTTGTAACATTTCAGGTTGAGCAGGTCTTCTGGCGTGACCCCCTCGTTGCTCTTTTAAGTATCCTATGTCACGGAGTCTAATAACTAAATTTACAAACATCCGTGGGGCCGGATGATTCCTTAAAGGAATCCTTCCCGCTTACAACCTGCATGATGCGACTGAATTTTGTAGGCCTTCGCCGTATGTTAGTATTATAGTATGTCCACTAGTTCATTGTTTTCGTCAACTTTGAAAACACCCTGTATAACCTAAATGTCACGTTGCTGGGGCTGTTACGGTTATGGTCTATATTTCAAGAACTATTAGAGAATTATCTTCCTTTATATCAATAATAATAAAATGTCAAACCTCTATATTCAGCAGGAAAAGATCACGTTCGTTCGCACAGAAAATCTTGCGACCGCCAAAAGCATGTAAAATATACTAAGTGACATATAAATCCGAACACCCAGTTTAAATGGTTTTATTTTAGTAAAATTTTGTATAAGTACTTAATGAAGCATAATAAGTAAATGATAAAAATTTCAAAATGATTGCACTGCTTTAAAGCCCTTTGACCTTTAATAATGTGTGGATGCACCCTGATGTGCTACGCATTCTCCAGCGCGCCTAGGCATGCTTCTGATCAGGTGGTCAATGTCCTCCTGTGGTATCTCATTCCAGGCAACCACCAACTCCTCTCGAAGTGCTTCTAGAGTCTGAGGAGGACGTTGCAAATTGAGCAATCTCCTACCCATCATATCCCACACGTGCTCAATTGGGGATAAGTCGGGAGATCTTGGTGGCCATGGTAACAATGTGACATCATTATGTTGAAAGAAGTCTATTGTGACTCTTGCAACATGTGGTCGGGCATTATCTTGTTGGAAAGTTGGATCTGCCAGGGTGTCAAGATAGGGTAAAAGATGGGGTTCTAGAACTTCGTGGATATAACGCTGCGCGTTCATGTTACCTCTGATGAAGATTAAAGGTGACCTGGAACCATAAGCTATAGCACCCCAAACCATAACTCCAACAGTGTGATGAACATGTCTTTCAACAAAAAACTGTGGATTCCTCCTTTCACCACGTCGCCTTCTAACCCTGGCTCGACCATCGTGCATGCCTAAACAAAATCGAAACTCGTCACTAAAGACAATACTGTTCCATTCCTGATCCCAGAGTGACCGTTGTCTGCACCACTCAAGGCGATTACGTCGGTGTTCTCGAGTTAAAGGGAGGACCCAATGTGGCCGGTATGAAAACAAGCCAAAACTTCTCATTCGTCGGTAAACACTTCGCATGCCAATAGGTCTTCCGTGTTCTGCAAACCATTCATTTGCAATGGACCTGGTAGTGGAGAAACGGTCCCTCAAGGCCAATAATCTTAGGCGGCGATCTTCACGATCTGTTGTTCTACGGCGGCGTCCAGTGCCCCTTGCTCTTTGCGTACGGCCTTCTCGAAGCCATGCCTGACAAGACCTAACCACAGTGTCTACACTTCTTTGCACTCTAACTGCAATTGCCCGAAAAGAAAGTCCAGCTTCCCGAAGTCCCACTATACGGCCCCTATCAAACTCACTAAGTTGACGAAATCGTACAGGTCTCCGTACTCTAGGCATCGTAACCGATCGTAAAGGATGTCAAGAACCAAAATCCGCCAACGTTGATTTTTTACTGCGGCTGAAATATTCATTTTTAGAGCGTTAGTGAATTAAAAAAAAGCAGTATGAAAACCGGAATGTCCAACTGATAAGGATGAAAAATTTTTCACTTGTTATTTACAGTAAGATAAATACATTCACCAACTTTTAATAAAATAAAACCATTTAAACTGCGTGTTCGGATTTATATGTCACTTATAGTTTGTATTAGTGGGCGCTACCACACGAGGTGATAAAACTGAAGGAATTTTAGGCGTTCTTTCTTCTACAGAGGCGCACTGTTACCGCAGCAGGCAGAAGTGCTGCGCAACATGAAAACAGTCGTATCAGTAGCCCAGGCACAGAGAAAAAAATAGGTATTTTGTGTATACAAGTTTAGCAGATATCTGAATGTTTTAAATGAATGACAAATACATAAAAAGATACAGCCGGATATGCGTTGTTTTGTTATAAACAAAGCTCAAAATTTAATATTTAGCTTGTATAATTTTCAAATTAAATTATATAAATAATCGCTATGCTGAAGATGTTAGAGCATAAAAGGAACTTCGACTTTATTTTTTAAGAATTAAAATCGATAAACAATGTTAAGCTAAATTTTCGCAATATCGAATAAATGTTTATAACTATTGCTAACAAGTTTAAATGGCTAAAAACTTGTTATAATGTGGGCATCATTGGTGTTAACATATATGCTAAATTTTAGTCAGATCGGTTTAATAGTTTATAGAAAAAGATAATTATTTATCGCTCCACAAAGTCCAACCCGAACGTCCTTGAGTTCGTATGCGGGGAGGTATTTCCTGTACATGACCGTGTGGAGTGGGCAATGGATCCTCTGCCCCCCAGGGGAGCAGAGGGATGGCTAAAAGGGCTCTGGTGAAACTCCTATTCCAAGGTGTGAGGCTCCGTGCTGAGGAAACGAATGGTGCCGGGGGCAATCGGAACACCGGGCCGAATTCCGGAGTAAGTTTGGTCTTCTGTACGTATGGGGCTCTGCGTACGGTGACGGTTCATATCCCCAATACTCGTGGGAACAACATGGACCAACGGGAAAAGCTCAACCCTAACGAGGAGGGTCAAAACCTCGATCCTCTGTTGGAGGAACAACCAACGGAGATTGGCGATCTTTGGCCGTCACCTCCATCACAGCAGGGAGAAGAATCACTCTCTGGGGCGTCAGAGGACGAGCTGACCCCTGCTAATATGAGTCGGGAAATGACTCCACTGTCTGTCACCTCCGAACAGGAGAGGGAACTACTGAACCCCTCTCCGAAGCCAGAGGTGGCAGACTGTAAGGCTAAAAAGCCTTGGGAAAGATTCCCGGGTGCAAAGAGAAGACGCCTGACAGCGCTTCTCAAAAGCGGCATTGCTTACGAGGCGACGCTTGCGAAAATCCAGAGGGAATCAGCGAGGGACACGTGGGAACACCTCCATCATCCAACGCAGCTAGTTGCAGCAGGCAGGAACCGGGAGGGCGTGAAGTCGTTTCCATTGCTCGCTGCAGAAAGTGGCCCCGTTCGGAAGGTAGCACTCCCGAACAGGCACCGAAAAAGCCGAGAAGTGTTGGGCAGGCTCCAACATATGGAGCGATTGCGGGAAGCTCTAGGGGGGGTTAGTCCACCCAGAGCATCCCGCGGTCGTCTTCACCAAGGATCAATTGTTCGCTATTCAAAGAGCGATATTGGTAGCTGTGTCTCGCATTAGAGACAGGAACACACATGTGAGGTTCCAGGACTGTACTCGCAGACCTGGATGGCTACAAATAACCTGTGTGGACAAAGAAAGCCTAAACTCGCTTGAAGGTGCGGCAAAGCACCTCCAGCCTTGGGAAGGTGCCAAGGTCAAGTTTTTCAAGGGGGCAATCTTCCTAAACCCCATATATGCGTAGTACATCTTCCGGACGAAGTTCCAGGGGAGCGACTCTCCAGGCAGGATGTGCTGCGTATACTGGGGATACTCGTGATTGGGTTGTCCTCCATCAGGAGGATTCAGGTAAGGGACAAACTTGGACTTTCGGTTTAGGTGATGCGTCGCTGGAAGCGCTGAGGCGTCTGGACTTCAGACCGTACTTTGGCTTCGGCCAGGTTTGATTTCGTCTGAGGCCCAGGGCTCAGGGAACAGCATCTGGGACACGGGAGACTAATCCCCCAATAGCCCACGCTACCGATGATGCGTCGACGGTGACAGTAGGGGGAACAGCCACCCCTCCTGCTGCGACTGGTAGCGACTCTACCAAAGGGAAGACTATTGCCGGTAAGACGCTGCCAAAAAAAGGCAAAAAGAAACCCAAGAAGGGGCAGGGAGGTCCTGGGGCACACAAAAGCTCTAAAGGCCCACCTAAACCGCCACGAGTTCCTGGTGGGGAGGTTGTAGCTCTACAGCATAATGGCTCAATCACTGAGCCTGCTGCAGATTAATCTGCAACATGCCAATGCCACCACGAACGGCCTTGGGGCCACATTCTAAAGGCACGGAATTGATATCGCCCTTACCCAGGAATCATGAAACTCGAACATAGGTTAAGTATCCGGACTTGGAGGAACATCTAGCAAGGTAATAGCATCACCATCGGTAACAAATCCGAGGGCATGCATCCTTGTCAGGAAAACTCTAAAATACTTTGTTCTCACATATTTCTGCGATAGGGACGTGGTGTCTATCCACCTGACCCTACCAGGGGAAGTAGAGGTTGTAATTACCTCTGCCTATTTGCCGGAGGATGCAGAAGAATCACCTGAACCCCAACTGGTGCGGAACTTAATCGACCATTGCAGGAGGAAGAACGTGCACCTGGTACTCCAACGCGCATCACACGGCCTGGGCGAACACAGATGTTAACCAACGAGGTGAGTCTCTGTTTAACTATTTAATCAAGGAGGGACTAGTGATTGACAATAAAGGTGCTGAGCCTACCTTTATTACTAGAAGTAGGAAAGAGGTACTTGACTTGACAATTAGCACAAATTATTTAAGTAGCAAGATCAAAGATTGGCGGGTAACCTCGGAACCCTCGTGTTCTGATCACCGACATATTCACTTTGAGATTGCAACGGGTGCAAGACCCAATACACGAATGTGAGGAATATGGACTGGGATGGATATAAAATGACCCTGAAGGAAAACTTGCCATAACAAATAAAGATCAACTGGACTTCACGGCGGATTGGGTAACGCATGCCATAAGGTCAGCCTATCAGGAAAACCGTCTACTCAAGGCGAAAAAAGAACGAGAGTACGTCTTAATAAGAAAAGGATAGAGGTTCGGGAACTCTTCAACCGGGCCAAACTATCTAGTGAGTGGTAATAGTATAGGAGAGCCTTAACCGACTATAATAAAGCGGTCCGCAAAGCCAAAACTGAGTCTTGGAAAAGGTTCTGCAAGATGCACCGCACAGTGCTAGGGTCTACAAGATCCTCTCCAAGGATTGTGGACAGGAGCTGGGGTCGGTCAAGCGACCAGACGGCACGTTCACACAGTCCAGGGGAGAAACCTTGGAGATCCTTGCATAAAACCACTTTCCAGGAAGTATAACATCTGATGACTTAGCTGGCCAATTCCCGGAGACTCGGACGGGTAAACGACCCCACATAAAATCATTTAAGCCCTTCAAATTGCCAGGAGAAGCTGGCATGTATCCAGCTCTACTACAAGTTGGACTGGATATATTGATGCCATTCCTCATAGCACTCTACAGAGCCAGCCTAGCGTGCAATCACATACCATATGGCTAGAAGGTGACAAGGGTAGTCTATATACCCAAACCTGGATGGACAGATCCAGTGGCGAAGTCACTCGGACCAATTAGTCTGACCTCATTTCTGCTGAAAGCCCTTGAAAAGGTATTTTTTATACTCCAAACTACCACGAAGGCCTAAGGCGTAAACACCCATGGGGTACCGTGTGACTATAGGGGGATATAGAGGAAAGGGCGAACGCCACACGGAGGGAACACGTGTGCATGCAACATGCACACATTCTGGCTCCGGTACCTCCGCGTTCGCAAGTCAGAGACCGTCTACCATCTAAGGACAATCACAACATCGATAGCCAAGAGAAAAATTTCTCCTGCGATGGGATTCGAACCCGCACAGCGCACGACGACTGATCAGGAGACCGAAGAGTCTACTACTGCGGCCACCGCTGCTGCCTAGTACTTGATGAGTACATAAGGGGGGGCGCTCTGCAAAGACATCCTCTAAGTGTGCATCAATATGCCTATCAGACAGGTAAATCAACAGACCTTGCTCTCAACAACTTGGTTGCAAACATCAAAGTATCCTTGGAAAACAAGGATATTACCATAGCGGCCTTTTTGGACCTAGAGGGAGCATTTAACAATGCCTTACCAGAATCCCTCTATGAATCAATCGCCTCCAGGGATGTAAATCCTGTGATCTGCGGCTGGATCAGAAGCATGTTGACATGCAGAATCATAACGACATCCTTACAGGGGGAGATACTCAGATTTAGTAGATAATCTGTCATTATTCGCCTATGGGAGGTCGAGGTTCAAGCATACCTGTATGCAGACGATCTAGGCGTCCTAGTCATAGGGAAATCTGGGGAACATATCTCGGGGACACTCCAGGAGGTGTTAACAGCAATAGCGGATTCATGTGAAGGGGAAGGAATGTCAATCAACCGACCAAAAATGGTCATCGTACCTTTCACCAGAAAGAGAAAACTGGATGGGATTAAACCTCCAACAATCCATGGTGAAAATGAACCGTTTGCAAAGAGGCGAAATATCTAGGAAAAATCTAAAACACTAAACTGGAATTCGCATCTGGAAGCAGTCCTTAAGAAGGCAAGAATCTCGCTATGGAACTAACAGAGGGTTTGGGAAAGAACTGAGGAATGAAGCCGAAACAAATGCTTTGGCTTTATACCATGGTCATTAGACCTATGATAACATATGGATCTGTAGCTTGGTGGGGCAAGGCAGCACAAAGAACTGTCCAAGCCAAACTGAGCGCAATACAGAGAGAAGCTTGTATGTTGATCACTAGTGCCTTTCGTACCACATCAACTGCAGCTATGGAGGTCCTTCTTAATCTGCCTCCCTTGCACATATACCTGGAAGGCAAGGCAAGAAGGACATCGTATAGACTACATCATGTGGGAAATGGTATAATGGACAATATCACTATGTAGGAGACGGGCATGCTGCTGAACTCACTAAGCTATCCCAGTCTGGGAATGCCTTCTAATAACGATAACAAAATATGTTAAGCCCTACTCAGTGACAATTCTACACAGGAATGAATGGGAACAGCAAGTTAGCCCGATAAGGAAAGATATCTGTGCATACACAGATGGCTCCCAGACCGAGATAGGTGTTGGAGCTGGTAACTTCGTGCTGAAGCTAAAGATTAAAAAATCTGTTAGATTATTAACCTGGGCATCGATTTTCCAGGCAGAGCCATATGCTATACAACTGGGTGCCAGAATTATCGCAGAACGACAAATGAGACAGAACTATAATTTTTTTTTCAGATAGTCAAGCTGCACTTAGGGCCGTATCGTCAGTCGTTCCTACAATAATTATAGGACGCCTTTATGGCCTCCTTGATTGTCACAGTTTTCTACTTTTCCGTGTCAGCACTCTACTTTGAGGTTATGTCACAAATATCTATTTGCATCAAATTGTTCGTGTTTTTGATTTATAACATCTTTTTTATCAGCCTGAAATTTCCTGCGTTTCAAAAAGAAAACAAATCTTCACAATAGGAGAGCACTGACGCTGACACGGTACGCGAGAAATCTAGAAATTTCTGACAATCAAGGAGCCCATAAAGGCGTCCTACTCGACATGGAAATTAGTGTGGAATTGCAAAGAAGCTCTCGGTGACATAGAGGAGGGAAATGTAGTCCGTCTCATATGGATACCGGGACACACAGGTCTAGAGAGACACGAGACACAGACACTCTGGCAAAGAGTGGGGCTAGCACACCCTTCGTAGGGCCTGAGCCAGCGATTGGGATCGCTTACAATACGGCTAAACAAATAATCTCTGCAGAGATGGACAGAAAGGTCCATCAATACTGGGAGGGATTAGCAGGGTTAACCCATGCTAAGGTAACTGTACCAATCTTGACAAAGAAGGTAACAGACTCTTTGCTACGGCGGGACAGAAATAGCCTTAAAGCTCTAGTAGGACTGTACATTGGTCATTGCAAATTGCGTCACCACATGAGCAGGCTGGGCATGGCGGAAGACACTGAGTGCAGACTGTGCATGGAGGGAGATGAAACGGACAGGTAAGTATTGTGCAGATGCCCTGCATTTGCAGAATCAGGTACAACATACTTGGAGATGTAGTAATCCAAGCAGAAGACCTGGAGGATATTTCTCCGAACAAGTTAATCGACTTCCTCATGAGGTCGGAGCTACTGGGGGAAATATAAATAGGTGTCAGACACAATAGACCAAAGAGTCGCAGTGGAAGATCGTTACTGATGCACTCACAAGAAACCTCACCTACTAACCTAATTATTTATCACAGAGACGAATTATATAAACAACTGTTCTTGCCCAAGACATTTTACCAAAGTGATATGGATTCTTGAATGTTATAACTTTAAGAATTTATGCATAAAAAAATTATATATTTCAAAATTGTTGTTAAAAATGATGTTAAATGTTCAATATAATTTATTTTAACAAGTTGATCTCGATAGGTGGCTATTAAACGCATATTTGAAAAAACCTTCTACGATCAGTAACAGCTAACTGTATTTTTAGGTGTGAGAGTCCTAAGCCCTGTTCGTACAGTTGTGTCCAAGATCTCGCCACATAAATTCCGTTCATTCTGCTATGCTATATAGACTGAATTTACAAGCCCGGATCCCAGACACTGTCACCGACAAGTCACCGACCACCGTACGAACAAACCGTAAATCTCCTAAAGATATTTCGAAAATTTATAATTTATGGTTTTTAAATGAGCACAGAATCAGCTGATGGTGGTGTACTTACCACAGCTTAATATGTTGTTTCAAGAATTGACGCTCAAATCAATTCAGACTAAATTATTGTTTTTTGATAATTAAATAAACCTTCAATACTTTTTTAATTTTTTTTTCCGGATACTCAGATGCTTGTCAGTTCTATCGCGCCTCACATATTTAGAATCACTAAATCAAGATGATGGTAAAATAACCTTATCATCCTGAGTATTACTCAAGCGACTTCATCCTTCCCACGATTACACTATTATCAACACTGTGTTAATAATAATCAGTTTTCAAATAATATATGATTAGCCAGCAAGTACTCGTATAGATGAAAGATATCCTTTAATTTTTTGCAGGGTAATTCCAAAGCTACCTCACAAAAAACAGGAAAATTATATAAGTAAACGCATGATGAAAGATGAAAGTTAATAGGATAATTAATCTCAGTGTATTTTAGTGCGCTATTAGTTAACGATTACCACCATTTTTGCTCATTATTGAGTGATTGATGATATATACCTTTTCCGCGTACACGTACAGATTAAGTTTTTGGTGTTTCTCAATGGTTTCTGCTTCTAAAGCAAACATTGTAATTCTGAAGCATTTAAAAATCGAAATATTAGGTTCTTTTACATACAAAACCAAGTTTATTGTTTCTAGCGACCTGTCTATCTACCTGTCTCTCACCTCCGCTAACACTTAGTCTCTAACCCATGATTTATCTCTTTCGCACGTGTGGCGTCACTCAGTGACAAAAATCCCAGAGACGGTTGACAAACGTGCAGTTTTCTATGGCGCTTTAGCGCTTAATTTGTTATTAGTTTCGCCAGTTTTGTTAGCTGGTGTCTCTTATACAGGGTGGCGCATCGAAAACGAAACAGACGCATTTCCTGGCAGCTCAGTTTTTTTTGGAAAAACGCTCAGACCCGTCGATTTTGTTTTCGAGGGGGACACAAGTTTTGCAAAAAATCACGTTAACACGTGCAGCCGCCTAAGCGAGGGTGACACCACCCCCAAAATCTTAAATGGAAAGGGGGGTTGAGTGATACCTTATTTTAAAGGTCTTTCAATTCCCTTTATAATGATATAAAATTGATGTACTTCAGTTCAGTAGTTTTGACGATTTATTGATTTAAAGCTTAAATAAAACTAATACATCATCATTAGTGGAGATCAATACATTTGGCAGCAAAGTAATTTAAAGATGAAGGATGAACTTACCCGTTAGGCATGTAAATGTTGAAAATGGCCACCATGACTCTCCATCCAATAATAAAGATTTTGCTCAACACCTTGCCGCACATTTTGCAATATTTGATGATATGGCTGTTAATGCAGGATCTATGGCGTCTTCCAGTAATTCCAAATACATTTCATCGGTCAAATTTCCAGGTAAGAAAAAAGGACCAACTAAATGATCGCCAAAAATACCAGCCCAAACATTTAATTTCTGTGCCTGCTGTGTATGAACCTCATGATAAATTCTGGGATTCGTCGGAAAAGCAAGTATTGAATAGAAAATGTTCATCGTTTATAATTCGTTCACTCATATCTTCACAAAATTGTAATCGCCGATCAAAATCGTCTTCAATAAGTTCTTGTAGCAAGTGAATTTTATACGGATGAAAACTATGAGCATTTAGAATCCGTTGGACAGTACGTCGACTAACACCACACACAGTTTCCAATGTGCGGGTACTTAACGTAGGATCTACATAAAGTTGCCCTAAAACCCCCACTTCTATTGCTTCGTTCCTTATGGAATTTTCAATATTGCATTTTTTATTGGCGACTGACCCATTTTCCCGAAATTTAACTACAAGTTCTAGAACACATTTACGATGCACCTTACTGTTCTCATGTCGCTCATTAAATATTTCTGCTGTTCTATTAGCGCAATGATTATTTCCGAAAAATATTTCGATAATTTCAACTCTTTCTGCTGTGGAATATACCATAGTTAATTTATGTAATAAAGCGTTACAAGTTATTTTAGCAACAAAGTTTGGTCAAATCAATCGCAAATTATGTACTAAATTCCTATTTAAGATAAGTACGAGATATCTCCTTATCTTTCTTCAAGAAATAACTTTTTTGCCACAAAAAAACGCTCCAATATCTATTTACTTATTAAGTAAATTCTTTTCGTCAAATTTCTTCTGAAGGTAGTACAAACTGATCTGATGTACCCATTAAAGTCTACTTTAAGCTTTAAATCAAAAAATCTTCAAAACTACTGAACTGAAGCTCCATGTATTTTACATCATTATAAAGGGAATTGAAAGACCTTTAAAATAAGGTATCACTCGATCCCCCTTTCCATTTAAGATTTTAGGGTTGGTGTCACCCCCGCCCAGAAGGCGAAGACGTGATTGCCAAACTTGTGTCCCCCTCGAAAACAAAATCGACGGGTCTGAGCGTTTTTCCAAAAAAAAACTGAGCTGCCAGTAAATGCGTCTGTTTCCTTTTCGATGCGCCACCCTGTAACAGTGACTCGAACATTCAACCATGGTGTACTGTCGTTACTGTGCGGTGGTGGGTTGTTCAAGCAACAACAACAAGAACATTAAACATGTTTCAAATTGGCGTTTCATCAATTTTCCAAAAAATAAGCAAGAGCGAGCGAGCAATGGGCTCTGAAGTGTTATCAGCAACACAAATTTAATGTGCAAAACAACAAGGGTACGTTCGACGCATTTTGTGGAAGGTGACAACGAGTTAAAATAAAATACTTTGGCCTTACCTAAAGATAAATAGAAGTTGAAATGTGGTTACGAATGGAAAAATGGCTGAATATGGAGGTAATAAAATCAATCAATCACTGGATGTAGGAATATAACTAGATCTTAAAGTCATAAATGGATTTAGCCACGCCAGTTAACGTCCCATCCATGTTCGATGGAGGCCACTGAAGCGGATTTATCTCGGACGCTTCTAAAGAATCTGAACTAACACCTGGGACATGAGGTCGTGCATTGTCTTGCTGAAAAAGTTGATCTTGCAATGTTTCCAAAAAGGGAAGCAGATGTGGTTGTAAAACTTCGTGAATATAGTGCTGGGCAGACATGCTACCTCGAATGAACAATAATCGTGACCTGCTGCCGTAAGCAATGGCACCCCATACCATAACACCCACAGTGCGATGAATATGCCGGCTTTCACCACGTTTCCTGGTTATCCTTGCACAGCCATCACGTGTGCCCAAACAGAACCTGGACTCATCGCTGAACACGACTGAGTTCCATCCCATATTCCATTCAAGTCTCTTCCTACTCCATACCAATTGTTGTCGGCGATGCTGTGGGGTCAGAGGTGGTACAAAATTGGGTCGGTGTGTTATTGCTCTTCCGACAGCATCAAACCACTATTTCGATAGTTGTCTCAAATAACGATCATGTCGCTCTCTAGTCTCTTCCGTCCAGTACCTCTAGCTCGTCGATTTCGGCCTCCTTGGAACCATGCTCGATAACATTTCATTACTGTAGCTTCGTTTTGATGTACCCGATTAGCAATTCTAGGCATGATAATGCAATGGAACAACAATGAAACAAAAGGAACCGATACAAAAAAATCACTGAATATTACGTAAACAGGTTCATAGCATGAGGATCCTGATATGACAGAAAAAGCCTTTACAAAAAAACTACGGCTCGGAAAGCCATCAACATTTTATCAGCGTATATTTCCATGATAGCAAATAGGGTTTGTCCGGAAAGTAATAGGACTCATTTTTTTCCGCCATGACTGTACTTGTGCGCACCGACTTCATTCGGTAGAGGGCGTTCCTAGCTAATGAATCAGCGGCTGGTCAGTTGTCTCCGAGCACTTGGAGAGTCAGGACAGGCATTTTCGCGCGACGTGTTTCTGTGAGTGGTGCAAGCCGAAAATGCAGCGTTCGTTAGAGCAGAGGTACGCGATTAAATTCTGTGTGAAACTCGGTAAATCTGCGACAGAGACGTTTGATATGATCAAGCAGGCTTACCCAGGTGTTGCTTTAGCAAGAAGTGGTGTGTTTCGGTGGCACCAGTCCCTTTTGGAGGGCCGGGAAGAGGTCGCTGATGAAGACCGTGCTGGAAGACCTTCGACTTCGACAAACACCGATAATGTGACTCGTGTGCGCAAAGTTTTGAACTCAGACCATCGACTAAGTATTCGTTTAATTGCCCAGATCTTAAATTTACCAAAATCTGTGGTTCATGACATTGTGATACAGCATTTGAACATGCGCAAGGTGTGCGCGAAGATGGTCACTGACGACCAGAAATTGCGGCAAGGTGACGAGTCGTGGATCTTTGAGTATGATCCCAAATCCCGAGACAAAGAGGCAATCTTCCGAGTGGCACACGACGGCGTCTCCTCGCCCAAAAAAGGGAAGAATGAGCAAATCTAGTGAAAACGATGCTCATTGTCTTTTTTGACATCAAAGGCATCGTCCACCATGAATTTGTTCCTCCTGGGCAAACCGTCAACGCCAAGTTTTACGTGGAAGTGCTCAGGAGACTCAAACGAAGAGTCAGTCGGGTCCGACAAGACATCGCAGCAGACTGAAGTTGCACCACGGCAACGCCCCGGCTCACACCGCCTTTCTTGTGAACAGCTACCTGACCAAGATCGGTATCCTAACGCTTCCGCAGCCGCCCTACAGCAAAGATGTGGCCCCCGGACTTTTTTTTGTTTCCTCGCATGAAAAGGCAACCATTTTGAGACGACAGAGGGGATCCAAGCAGCATGCACCACGACTCTCAAGGCTATTCCGGAGAATGCCTTCCGTGACGCCTTCGATGCTTGGAAATCGCGCTGGCAACGCTGCATCGACGCAGAAGAAGCCTAATTTGCAAGTTTTTAAAGAATTGTAACGATTGGCTCAATAATTTTTTTTAAATCGACTCAGTCCTATTACTTTCCTGACAAACCCTGTATATGCCATTTCAATGGTGGGACGGCACCTACAGATTTTTAAATAAAGGGGAACCTGGAAAATTTTACCCAAATTCAAATCTCGATATCTCGGGAACGGAAAGAGTTATCGAGTTGCGGTTTTCGGGAGGTTCCTGAGTAACTCTTTTAGAACATTTGCAGGATCCGATCGCTATATTTTTGCTATTTATTTACTTATACAGGGTGAGTAAAGCAAGCCATGCTCGTCGCAAAGTTTGGCGCTGCGAGTATGTCAGAGTCTCAATTTTTGATCTTGGAAATTTTTCTATGCATCTATTTGATATTTTTTTCTATACCGAAGTAGCCGCGCAGGTAGAAGCCTAAATGCCGGAACACCGCGGTTGCTATGAGGACCCAAAAGAAATTTTGTTATTCCGATTTTTAAACCGCCTAAGGTTAGTAGAACTGGAAAAAGCTTCCTCTTGTAGATTGTTCCACAATCGCGACACCCTCGGGACAAAGGAGCGGTCGTATCAGCCAGTTCTGGATGTACGAAGTTCGACACCGTTAGGATGTGAGGCCAAAGTCAGGCGGGTCTGTCTGGCAGGGACATCGCGCGGCGGCATCATGTAATAGAGCTTCGAGGAGCAAAGCCCGTCTGGACAGCCCTCCTCTGCACAGCATCGAGCATAAATGATGTAGTCGGGGCGGCAGCACCCCAAACTTGTGAACAATACTCGAGGCTAGGCCTTATCTGGGCCTTGAATAGAGTTAGAGCGTCATGCGGAGAAAAGTATGTTACTTCTTACTATCCTAAAAAAGTTATATCTCAATTTTTTCGAAAGTAATTATCGAATTTTTAACTTCCGCAATAAATATCTTTCACCCTAACCACCTACACCTCATAGATGCAATTGCGAAGTAACAATAATATTGACTGTATACTTGACAGTATAATATTATTTTCTCAAAAATGCGTCGAATTTTTTTTAAAAAAATAGAGAGAAGTGTATGAGATTATTGGGAGAAGGTCGTTTAGTGAATGGTGTGGCTTTAATTTATAATGTTAATCGGTCCTCAATATACCGTTTAAGGCGTTGGTGTCAGGATATCGGGGATAGTACGGTCCTTCAATACATCACACAAGAGTCGATTGGTGGAGGTGGCATTACTGTTTGGGCTGGGGTTATGCACAATTGTAAAACCGAACTTTTTATTTCGAACATGACAGCCAATGCTGTAGTTTATATGGACAACATTTTAAACAATATTGTTGTACCTTTTGAACAAGATTTTGGGGAGGACTTTGTCTTCATCGATGGTAACGCAGGCCGTACAGAGCTTGTGCGGTTACAAACTTTTTGTCAGAGAATAATGTTACATTGTTGCCTCTGCCATCAAAGTCTCCAGACCTAAGCATAATTGAGCAAATTTTCAGTGCGGTCAAGACAAAATGCTTCTCAAACACTGGAAGAGTGGGAAAACGTATCCCGTAAAAATTTCGTTTTTGTCATAAATAAATAATTTGGGTATTCAACTAGACTTCAGATTTTTGCTTTCTATGATGTTACATATTGTTGATGTTAATCAATATATTCTTTGATGTTATTTAAAAATTTAATAGAGACTATTAACTATTGGCAAACATCTCCAATGAAGACGCGTACGCCAATGCTGAATGAGAAAGATAAAAAAATCCAGATAAAAGATGAATAGCAGTGTTGGCCAACATCATAGCATTTTTAAGTTATTAGCACTTCATACCAAACCAAAAAATGTTTTTGGTGTTATGCTACTGAAATACACCCCTATACACCCTGCCATTTTTTACATAAAATGGTACCCATTGCCGTACCTTGGTGTGAAGACTACCTTGCTAAATATGCGTTCCTCAGCACCGCCACCCCCCTTTGACTTATCCCACACCCCGCTCCTTAATGTTCAATCGCCCATACATCTCTGAACATGAATCCTACGACCACCCCTCCTAGATAGATTTTTGAATCCGGCTCTGCTCTGCTTGCTATTTTCAAAGTTTTCATTTAATAAATGTCGTGGGAAAATTTAGATTACCTAGGGAAACTCTTGAAGAGATCTGTCGTTTAAGCATTGAGTCAATACTCTTAAATATTTTTTGTAAAGCATTTGGATCGAACTTGAAAAAAATAAACACTGAATATATTTGCTTTTTGTCAAGCTTGTCGGTTCAATATTTCGAAGTCGTCGCTACTTATCACGATCTTTTGTACATTACCTCTGACAAGAATAAGATAAACACAATCCATCGTCGGCCGAGGGATAAAACACAACTCCAAAATTACGAAACGTCCTTTGTTCCGAAATCGATATATGGTTGTTTTCATTACCACAAAGTTCGTCCATTTATTACTGACGGGTGATTTTTTAAGAGGTATAGGATTTGATTTAAAAAAAACACAAAAAATTTGAAAAAACGATTAAATCTTTATTTGAGTCGATATAATTTAATGTTTAAAGATTATTTCATGTAAATGATGGCCGCGGCTCCGCTTTAGATGGCCCATGCGCAAGGTCCAATTTTGGCACACTCTCTCCAACATATCGGCCGGTATCTCACGAATAAATGCTTTAATATTGGCTTCCAGTGCGTCAATCGTTGCTGGTTTATCCCTGTAGACACAAGCCTTAGCATGGCCCCACAAGAAATAGTCCAACGGCGTTAAATCACACGATCTAGGCGGCCAATTGACGGGTCCCAAACGTGAGATAAACTGTTCACCGAACTCGCCTCTCAATAGGGCCATTGTTTCGTGTGCGGTGTGGCATGTGGCACCGTCTTGTTGAAACCACATGTCAGCCAAGTCCAGCTCTTCCATTTTGGGCAAAAAAAAGTTTGTTATCATCGCACGGTAGCGCTCGCCATTCACAGTTACGTTCCAGCCATTGTCGTCTTTGAAGAAGTACGGCCCGATGATGCCACCGGCCCATAATCCACACCAAACAGTGATTTTTTTGGGATGCATAGGTAGCTCTTGCAATACTTCTGGCTGGTCTTCACTCCAGATGCGGCAATTTTGCTTGTTAAAGTATCCATTCAACCAGAAATGAGCTTCGTCGCTGAACACAATTTTTCGATAAAAATGTGGATCTTCCTCCAACTTTGCCAGCGCCCATTCACCAAATTGGAAACGTTGTGGGAGGTCGTGTGGCTTCAATTCTTGCACCAGCTGTATATTATAAGGTTTTACACCCAAATGCTGTCGCAAAATTTTCCACGTAGTGGAGTAACAGAGGCCCAATTGCTGCGAACGGCGGCGAATCGACATTTCACGGTCGTCACTAACACTGGCGGATACAGCCGCACTCTACGTCTGCGTGTTGGTGGTTTAATGTCTAATAATGTAAACTGGGTTCGAAATTTAGTCACAAGCTTCCGAATAGCTCCCTCAGTAGGCCGACCAAATTGCCCATAAATTGGAAGCAGTGCTCGATGCACTCTCTTAACCGAGCATGAATTTTGATAGTAAAATTCAATAATTTGCAAGAGTTGTTAGTTCATAAGTCGATTCATGGTTAAATTATATACCAAACTGAACAAGTTTGACAATGACACAAGACACGATTCACGCGTCGTCTGTCAAAAACAGTGTCGCCAAAAAGATACTAGCAAAAAAATCACCCATTATTTTAAAATAGTGAATGAAGGATTTTTATCTTGGCGAGCCGGATCGGTCACTCTCACTCTAAAATAGCTTATTTTCGTTTCGTTTATACGAATTTTGCTGATGTTTAAATATAATTTCAGAAGTTTTAATGACATGGAAGAAAGTTTTTATGAATTTAACCTCTGACTATACCGCACAGCAATAACTACACTTGTTTTAATTGCAATAGTAGAAGCTTAAATTTAAATCTACTGTAAAAGGTTGGATACTTGGGACGATCTTATTAAAAGATATATGCTCCATTCGCTTCTCTTATCTTGATCATTAAATCGAATCACATATGTTGAATTGACAAGTTAGTGACGTTTCGGTTGCTTCGGCAGCCTCTATCAAAGAGCATGCTGTTTTCAACGCACTAATTCTGTTGTCAGTATGACAACTGTAACTGTGAATTTTTTGTAAGCTATCACAAATTAGTTGATAAATCTGGTACCAATTACCAGCAAGTATAAGATTTCAAATATTCCAGTTTTTGCCAATAATATAATATTTGACTGACTACTGGTAGTGTCCGGATTACTGGCGCATTCGCCCTACAAGATTTCGTTAGCACAAGATTTTAGATATTCAGTAGGGGGGACTGAGGGGATTTGAAACAAAGGTGATTTGAAAAAGTACCGATTTCTCGGAACCTAAAGCCGTTAGCGAGTGGTAACGTCGCTTTCTAACCACTTCCTTCCGCCCGCAGACATGTCAGTTCACGGTGGCGCAAGTCGCGCGGTTGTAGAGTTCTGTGTTCCAAGTGACAAAAATTGTGAAAAGTAAGTTTTAAACGTTTTTTTCCGATGCTTATATTTTGATAAAGATTTTGTATTTTGGTTTAAGTAACTTAAGATTTATTATATATATTTGGTACAATTGATATCTGTGTATTTGCTTCTTGATTGTGGATTAGATAAAAATTTGGAGGTTTGTCTTTCTGAGGAGATTTGAAACAGGATGTTTCAACTCTCCTCGTTTTCAATTTTATATCAGACAGTCAATAAATAACGGGCACGGAAAAACTGACTTTTATTTTTATTTAATTTATTAATTTTGTTTCAGAATGCCTAGTGATTATAAAAAAAGACTGACAGAGCAAGTCGCAAAATATATGATCTTGCAGCAGAAGAAGTAACTTTGTGACAGAAAGGTCTCCGTGACGTGGCTTCGTGTTACAACCTGAACCATACCTCCCTCTACAGGTATATTAAAAAAAAACTGCTTTTGAAGCTAACGGAACGACGACTGCTTCAACGGTTGGATATCCAGAAAAAGCTGTTTTTACAGCTTCAGAGGAGAAGATACTCTGTGACTATCTTTTAAACTGCGCTGCTGCTAACATTGGCTTAAGAACTAAGGAAGCCAGAACCTTTGCATATAAGTTGACTGTAGAATACAATAAAAAAAATCCTCCTTCTTGGACTTGGAGCATGGAATGGCTGGACAGGTATGGCATTGGTCTTTTATGAAACAGCATCCAGTTCTTTGTCTGAGACTACCTCAACCTACAATTATCGCTCGACCTAAAAGTTTTAATAGAACGAACGTGCAACCTTTTTTTCATTATACCACAGTAGTTGACAAACACAAATTACAGGAGATATATGGAACGTTGACGAATCTGGCATCACAACCGGTTAGAAATCAGACCGCATTATTGCCCGACGAGGACAGAAACAAGTGAGTGCCATGACTTCCGCAGAGAGGGGAACATTGGTTACTATAGCACTAGCAGGAAATGCCCTTGGGAATAACATACCCCCGATGTTCATCTTTCCGCGGAAAAGATTTCATGATCACCTTATACGATGGGCCTACAGGTTCAATTGACACTGCGAATGGGTCAATGTGGATGCAAGAAGACTTCTATATATTGCTTAAATATTTGAAAGACCAAATCAGGCCATCAAAAGAAAATAAAGCACTGTTGTTACTGGACAACCACGCTTCACACCTAGCAGTTAAACATATCTAGCTCTACAAAGAAAATGGCATAATCCTAAGCCAATGGACTGAGCCGTTTTTGGGCCAGTGAAAAAAGCAGTTAATACTGCTTGCGGTAATTGGACGCAGTCTAACCCAAGAAAAGTAATGACCATCTACGAAACTCCTGGGATAGTGAAAACATCATTTGATACAGCCGTCACACCGCGCAATATATCTTCCGGATTCATCCATACCGGACTTTGGTCAGTTAACACTGAAATATTCCAGGACGCTGATTATCTTCCGAGTCAAGTTACTAATCGACCTTTGGCAACTTCCGTTATTCCAGGTCCATCCAGCTCTAGCTTGGTGAGAATTTTAGGAAGTGAAGAGGCCGCGCTATGTCCTACTTCTAGCACAAGTGGTGGTTGTCCCCTTGCAAATAGTATTTTACATGATTCTCGTACGCCAAATCCGCCAATCTTAAATTTACCGGTTACTCCTCCTCAAATCAGCTACGAAACAGAAAACGTACCCAAATCTACAGAAAACCCTGATAAGAATTCACCTGATCTGGCGATATCTGAAGTAATGCTTAATACTGCCACAATGCCTTCAACCACTGAGTCCGTTAATTCCTCCACAATCTTTACATCTGATATAATACCTGTAGCATCTATATACATCACGAGATACTTCAGTTACTGTGTCAGCAATTTCATTCTCGCCTGAAAGTCTGAGGTCTTTGCCAAAGGCTTCACCAAGGAAAGGATATCAAACAAATAGACGCAAAGTGAAATCCGCTATTAACCAACACTCCTGTAAAGGATGAACTAGCTGCAATCAAAGTAGCTAGAATGGCTAAGAATCAAGTGAAAAAACCTAACTTTGAAGAAACAAATACAAGAAAAAGATCAAAACCAGGCACTGAAACTAAAAAGAACAAGGTTGTCAGAAGCAAAGAGAAAACGAAGACAGCGAAGAAGAAGAAGAATCCTCCTGCCTTTGTTGCCACATTCAAATAGCAGAGCTAAAGAAAAATGGGTGCAATGTCTGGAGTGCAAAAACTGGGCTCATGAAGCCTGCACTGATGGGGAACCTTCTTATCTTTGCCACAATTGTTTGTCAGATTAACGTTTTTTATTTTCATACTATTTATATTTTTGACATTTATGAGATTATTGTTAACTTAAGTATTTGAAGAAATATTGATCAAGACTGATTGTAATACTTAAGAAACGACTGAAAGTTAATAACTATTTTATGTCAAAGAATTATCTGGGTATAAAACATTATATTTATCTGACTGTTATTTTGTTGATTAATCCTTCGAATAGAACGTTATGGTACTTTTAACTACTTAAGGAGTTCATTATTTGTATTAGGCCTGTAGTTAATAATAATAATAATAATATTAAATGGGCTTTGTTTCGTACTTAAGTAAAAGTACAAAAAATGCGAAGTGTCGCTAAGATTAGCGTTTTTCAACTTACCAAGTTACCTACTTGGCTGAAATATCAGTACAAAATATTGATAAAAAAAGTTGTTTTGCACTTGAAAAGTTTTATTTTAATAAATGCCGTTGAATTATATCATCATTGTCATTTCATAGCCTTTAATACTTCTCAAAAATCATGTTCCGACTCTCCTCGACCCGTTCTTCATCTTACCTCGGTATGAGGGGAATTGAAACAAGTTGACTTGTTACGGTTAGGTCGATTTTTCACCACAATATTTAACGCTTACAATTTCTATAAATTAGTCATTCGCAAGTTTAAAGAATGATCTATCGATTGGCACTAATATCATACGATTTCTGTCTATAGTATTTTGTTTATGAAACAAAACGTCAAAATTGTTTCAAATCCCCTCGGTCTCCCCTAAGCCACCGTAGATATTTAAGAAGATATTATTTTTCGCTAATCCTGTTTTAAGACTATCAGAAATGATACATTAATCAATATAGTATGTCCAAAAGAGCTATATTTACAAAAAAAAAAGTGATTTGAGCGGAGGTTCAGCGTTTTGATCGATACCGAATCCAATAATGACTGGACCATGACAGAACTCGGCGAAAACGGACAAGCAACAAATTTGTAGTTTGTAAGACCGAATTTCAGTATTTTGTTTTAAGGTAAGTTTATGCTAGAGATTTATATCATTATAGATATCTCAGGTATCGAGAAATAAATTTCCTTGCAAGTTTTCACAACGACATAAGTGTCACGCAATAAAATACCTGATACCTCTAGTTGAGAGGAAATTCCGATATAAATTGCTGTTCTGTTTAGACACATCTCTCGACACTTTTTCTGTCCTTCTACCGTCTAGTTTCCGTTAAAGTTTTAGTATGGCTTGTAGTAAACGTCAGGCTGCTGCAATAATAATTTTATTATTGGACGATAAAAAAAGAAGGAAAAAGAAAGTGTGGGTGAAGAAATGGTTATTGAGAAGAAGTACTGCAGCGGCTTACACTCAGTTAATTAATGAGCTAAAAGTTGAAGATCCAATACAATTACAAAATTTTGCGAGAATGTCGTCAACAGATATCGATAATTTAATAAATTTGGTGGGGCCATTGATCCAAAAAAATGACACCAAAATGAGAGAAGCGATTTCAGTTAATGAAAGGGTGCTTGACACCTTAAGATATTTAGCCACAGGCATATCAAAGTCTGCAATATCGGGTATAGTTTATGAAGTGTGTCAAGCCATTGCCATTGGCTTAAAGGATTATTCAAAGGTAAGTGATTTTAAATTAAAGAAACCTTTATTAAACTAAATGGACTCTACATTAATTGCTTACTAGAATCAATTATTATTGATGTAATAAATTAGAGATCAGTATACTCATTTGGCACAGTATACACAGAGCTCTGGCTTAAACTGGATGGAGGATTGTAGTCAAAAGTTGATGTAGTGGAAGTCGATGAGGTATTTGAAAATTGTACCAAGGAACTCATTTCTTCATCCTCCTTTGCAATTTCCAAAGCGAGTTTCTGAATCCCTCTCTTTAATGTTTTTTCAAAAAATCGTGACGCAATGCCCTAAGTTCACCAGCAATAAACGAACCGAAGATATCATACTCATCATTTCAAAGTGCGCTTCGCGCTTTTGCAAGTAATTCTTCCTTATCGTCTATTATGTTCGCTTTCTTTTTCACCGGCTTACTGGTTTCTTGGGTTTTTTCTTTGATGGAGTCAGACGTGCTTTCTTCATTTATATTCTCCAAAGATGCTGACAGAGCTTTTCCCCTTCATCACATTGTTCCTAAAAATAGAAATAAAGTTTGCATTATAATAATTAAATTTACCCTAAGAATGTTCTTTTAATGCTATTCCATTTTATATTACAGATGCCAACAACAAATGAAAAATGGTTAAAGATAAGTTACGATTTTGAAAAACGTGAAATTTTCCACACTGTAGAGATGCATTAGACGGTAAACACGTCACCATACAAGCGGCTCCAAATTCAGGGAGTTATTTTTTTAATTACAAAGGGTTTCACAGCGTGGTACTTTTGGCATTGGTAGACGCCAATTACAAATTTTTACTTGTCGATATTGGATGCAATGGACGTATTTCCGATGGGGGCGTTTTTGCCGCTAGTGCTATGCCTGGTATAATCCAGCCAAGTGGGATAAATCTACCAAAGAAGCCATTGTCTGGACGACGACTAGCGGTACCCCACATAGTCGTCGCAGATGCCGCTTTTCCACTTCAAGAATATATCATGAAACCTTATAGTACAACAAATATACCAGGCTCTGCAAGAATTTATAATTATAGGCTTTCGAGGGCACGCCGAATGGTGGAAAATGTTTTCGACATAGTATCAACCGTTTTCCGTGTTTTACGAAAGCCCGAAAGAACGGATTCTGTAATATAGCTGTATGTACGTTACATAATTTTTCGATGACAAAAAAATCTTCAAGAAAATTTTATGCAACAGATAATGTATTTGACCGAGAAGATGGTAATGGTGAAATTGTACCCGGTAGTGGGAGAATTGAGGGACTTCCAGATAATAATTTGCTACCCCTTCCCCAACAGGGATCTAATAATTACTGTAATACTGCGAAGGAAATTCGAGATGAGTTTAGAGATTATTTTAATTCACCAGACGGAGAAGTTCCTTGGCAGTACAAATGTATGTAAAAAAGGAGAAAAATCTGTAAGTAGCGCAGAGTACTACATATTTGCATAAAATAACATATTAACATATGTACTTACCATATTTCCAGTTGTTTGTCGTGTCTGTAAACTAGTTTTTATAAACAATAAATCATTGAAATAAGGCCATTTTGTTTCATAATTGTCATCACTTTCTTGTCCTGATTTTTTAGAATTAATTTTGTTTAATTCCGTATTAAATTGGTTCCGGAGGTTATGGATTTTTCTAGTAATTTCTTCCGCACTGGTCCCGAATTTTTCATTTAATTTTTTAAGGGCATCCGATTTTATTATTTTATTTTTATATTCATTGGAAAGTGCATTCCACAAACAAGGGTGTTGTTCATAGCAAGCAATTAAATCGGTCACTCCTGCACGTGTCCATTCTTTTTTATTAACGGACATTTTATCTATTGTAAACACTCTTGCAACGTAAAATAAACAGCACAAAGTATCCCGAGAGACTGCTAAAAAGTAGACGGCCGGCCAACTCCTGCGAGATCTATCAGAAACTAGTTGAGACTTGTCTCAGCGTTGTTTACATTTACGACATTTTGTCTGGATCATTTTCTCTCAGCTATTTGAATAAGCCTCGGCTAGCTTCTATCACCAAGGTTTACATTTGATATACTTTATTGCAGAGAGAAATGTAAATAAAATCTCTAGTATAAATGTACCTTTTAGAATGACCCTTATTTAATTGATATGTAGTTAACTTGTTATTTAGAAATTGAAACAGAATATATTACAAAGGTAGAATATCACAATATGATTTATCTATATTTTTTGCATCATATTAATGTAACTGCAGTAGGTACGTCTGATATCACAGACATTAATAATTAAAATAAACTAAGTTGCCCTTGCTAATACAAACAGGTCTGGAAGAATTCTCAGAACTGAGTTCGGGCGTCGGCCAACAATTCCTAGAAAAACGTCTGTCTTCTGCTATGAAATGTTGCAATTGTTTTTTAACCGTGTTCGCTGGCCGCTTACACTGGCTTTTCGTGTGCGTTATTTTCAGTGTTTTCAAAGGGAAAATTCGGTCGCACGCGGAAAATTGTGTTTGTGGCTTGTAGATAAGTGTTTGTCAGTTTTTGTAGTGGTTTGCACCTTTGATTACGGTAAGAACGAAGGAACACTTAGATACCACGGACTTCGTACACGGGATCTTCGGAAGCGCTAATTTTTGTGTGTTGAGAGTGAAAACTCTGTCGTACTTAGAGAAATGTGCTAGTGGCATGTGGAATAAGTGCTTGTGAGTGCTTGTAGTGATTTGCACCTTTGGATTACGGGAAGAAAGAAGAACTTCGCAGATACCACGATAGAAAAAAGGCGGAAAAATGGTAAGTGCTAGTTTATGTTATTTTTACAGGGTGTGCACTTCTTTAAATTTTGTGTGTAGTGTGCACAGAATCAGTTTATCTCAAAATAGTAAAATGATATATACCAGAAAATAGTATCTCCATTGGGGCGGGCGCCTATCAGTAAATTATAGGGTAAAAATGACCACTTGATACTTATCAAGCGTCCAGTATATTGTTTAGGCTTTCACTGCTAGCATATACCGGGTGTTTCAAATTGGACCTTCACCACTGGTATCTGGGAAACGGAAAGGGTTATGTTTTTATTAATGTTTTTATGTATTTTACCTCTGCCTTCAACCACCTGTACCGCTCCAACAATAACTACATTTTTTGTTTTAACTGCAATAGTAGAAGCTTAAATTTAAATCTACTGTAAAAGGTTGGATACTTGGGGCGATCTTATTAAAAGATGTATGCTCCATTCGCCTCTCTTATGTTGATCATTCAATCGAATCACATATGTTGAATAGACAAGTTAGCGACGTTTCGGTTGCTTCGGCAGCCTCTATCAATGAGCGAATCAAAAGAATGACAAAAGAATATACAGTGCTTTCCAAAAGAGACTCTCCCCTACTTATTTT